TTTGTCTCTAAAAAGAATGCTATAGGGCGTTATGGCATCCCGACGTCTTCTGTTTCCTTTTGCGCTACCAGCTGACCACTTACCTCTATGTGAACGTCTTTTCCGCTGTTACCAGTTTGCCCAGTGGCTCGCTGTGCATGTTGTCGGACATAAGACACAGAGAGGAGTTTACTGCGAAGACAGGGGTTCGAGACAGCAAAAGAATAGTTCCATAAAGCAGGTAAAACAAAAGGCAAAAATTAAATTAACAAGTATATAACAGGGTGAGAACGTGGTAAGATCTGAAAATGTTGTAAAAATCAGGCATCCACGAGGGCTTTTCTTTTTCTACATTGCCTTTGAAAAAACTGTCAGTTGGGTTTAGGGAAGTTGGTGGGAGGGTCAATCTGTGATTTTGAAAAGTCAGTTAGTTTATCAGTCAGTCAGTCAACAGCGGCCTCTGGTGGATTCCCGAAAACCAAAACTGCAAAAAAACTTCCTCCTGGGACATATTTCACGCTGTCCAAAAATGTATGCAGGGGTATCTATCAATAATGAACCTGGGTTGGTTTCATTAGTTGATGGTTGTAAATGTATTTATTAATTTGTTGATCATAGCTCAACATTTATTAATGCATTATTAAAATCTTGTTGACAATAATTAATGCATTGTGAGTTAACATGAACTAACAATGAACTTTATTTACATGAACTAACATCAACAAAGACAACAAAGAACACTGACTAATACATCCTTTTTGTAAATACTAATACATGCTTATTGTTAGATTTAAACATAGAGTTATATAAGATGTGGGTGAAGCAGTGGCGCAGTAGGTAGTGCTGATGCCTCACAGCAAGAAGTTCGCTGGTTCGAACCTCGGCTCAGTTTGCATTTCTGTGAGGAGTTTGCATGTTCTCCCTGCATTCGCGTGGGTTTCCTCTGGGTTTCCCCCACAGTCCAAACACATGCTGCAGGTGAATTGGGTAGGCTAAATTGTCCGTAGTGTATGAGTGTATAAGGGTGACAGGCTGTCCAGAATGTGTAAAAAAGTCGTTATCATATGGACAAGTCTAAATAGAGGACTTGTTGCAAAGAGCCGACCCCGCAACCATACGGGACTAAGGCCAAAGAAGAAGATATAATTATTTAAGATATTTGTACACCTTACATTTACAACACATCACTATTAAACTGCTTGACATCAAAAGTTTTTGGAGGAAAGATCAATAAAAGGCAATATAAAAGCATAACAAATTCAAAGATAAATACAGATTTACAGATATTATTTTAGAGTGCAGAATTGTATGAAGTAGTTTACTGCAAACACACAACAGTAATAAATTGTTTCACAATAAAATATTGTAGTTTTGCTTTTAAAAAGTAAAAAAAAAAGAAAAAGTTTGTTTGTTTTAGAGATAGCCAAAAGTGTTTATATCTCTCTTCAATTTCCTGTTAAATAAATCCCTAAGCAAGGTTTTCCCTCTGTATATAGCATGCATTGTTGATTCTTTATCTACCAAGAGCAACATGGTGCTTTACACATGATGTAATACTCTTCCTCCTATGCATGTATTCCCAGTTATTTGATATTTAAAAGCTCTTGAAACCAGACTCTTTTAGCGATGACAGACTTGCTCGTCTCATCTCAGAGAGCACCTGTGATGGGCTACGCTGGACCTCTCAAATTGTATTTCCCTACTTTTACAATCTCGCTCTTCTAGTAAAACCATTTTGCCACAAGCTGTCCTTACCTCTTTCCACCAATCACATTAAGATTTAAATTTCATCCAGCCACCGGCTCAAGGGCACTTGAAAGGGAAGAGGAGAAGCTGTTTTCTTGCGAATGGAGAGCGGTCCCACGAAAGGCCTCCATGCTACGCTTTTGGACTTAAATCGATTACATGCATTGTTCGCTCCTCCAGAAAATTGATGTCTGGAGTTTTCAATGTTTTGCGATACACAGCCACGCCTGAGAAGAGACTCATCGCTTATCAATGTGCACAATCTCCATTAATAATGCTGTGGCTTTTTTTTCCCTAGCGTAATCCCTCCATAAAATGTCATTGAAAGTGATGCCAAAAACAAGCAAAGTTGATTTTAATGCCAATGCCTTCTTTCTCACCATTTACAAACTATTTCAGATGATGAATCTTTATTTAATCATATGTTCTCCCCATGTTCGTGTGGGTTTCCTATGGGTGCTCCGGTTTCCCCCACAGTCCAAAGACTTGCCGTATAGGTGAATTGTGAGAAAAGATGTGAGAAATACATCCTATACATGAAGCAAGCGACAAAGAAAGACTAAAACAGAGGGATTAAATGCACACGGCTAACAATTTTTGAAGGGGGCGGTGATAATCAAACACCATAGCAACAAACAAAGGTTAGGACATGAGCTGGTTGTGGCATTGGAAACATAATGAGGTGAACAAAGCAAAGAGGCAGGACAACAGGGATTGGGATGTTGTCTTGTAAACCTTATTTAGTACATAATAATAATATAATAATATAGAAAAAATAATAATAAAGAAAAAATAAATCGTACAGTTCAACTTACTACTGTATACAGTATTCTTTAATCCTTTAACTACTCCACCAAGAAAACAAAAATGTTTGGATTGCATTTCTTAACTCCTAATGTCGCTTCGTAATGACAGTCAATGCATTTTTTTTTCAATACATCCCAAAATTTCTAAAATATCAGCCTCTACTAAACGGTTGATATGTCGGTTTATGGTAGAAGTACCAGACTTAATATACATACTATGAAAAGTCTGAAAATATGTGGCCAATCAGAATTGTACCCATTATTTTATTTTTAAATATGCTAAATAAAACTTTTTAATACAAAATTTTGAAGTATGGCATAACATATTTTAGAACCTCATTTAACTTTCTTTCTTTTTTTTTTTTTTTATAAAAAAACCAAAATCAAGTTTAGTAGTGCAACAGGATGTTTGTTTGATTTATACATTATATATATATATATATATATATTTATTTATTTATTTATTTATTTTTGAAACCAACAATGCTGTGTGTGTAAGCCATTATTTAGAATAGTCATTCTTTGAATGACTTTAACAGTCATTATTTAAAACAGTAAAAACATGGTCATTTGGTAGAGGGACAGTCAAAGGGTTATTTTAATGTTAGCTGCAGAATTATTTGTATTTTGACATTTCTAATCATATTTTTTTATTAAAATTGTCTAATTGTATTTTTTTTAATAATACAAAATGCTGTAATCAAAATAAATATTTGGAAAAAGTGAACTTAAAAGAAAAACAAATAATAATATCTATGTGGTAAATAACTAATAACTGAAAATAAGTTATAAAAATAGAAAAATATAGTGGAAAAAAAGGTAAAAAATAAAAAATAAACGTGTAAGATAATAAAAAGGTATAACCTGTAATCTGCTTAGAGATCATGAACTACCTCAATTTTAGGTCAACTAATCAAGACTTTTACAATGCATCATAATTTAAAAGCAACCAACTTTTTTCTGTCCTGTTTTAACAACACCTCATAAGAACACTCTGTTTGAAGGGGCGTGGCTGATTGTAGACGCAGAAGTAAACACCCGCTGTTGTGATTGGCTAATAGTTTTGCATATTAACCCGGCTAAATTGACAGTGCAGTAGAAGCAAATGTTGATCTACGGAGGTGGAGCTTATGTCGTCTTACATCATAGAGTAGAACATTACAAAACTTGTCATTTTGCCAGACTGCCTTCAATTCAGCTGCTTTTAGAGGAACAACAAAGTTTTGAGCTCTGAAACTTACAGGTTGTGCTCATAGTACTGTGACCTTTTATATCTCAAGTGATCAAAAGAATGTTGGTTTCTCAGTTTATGACCCCATAATAAACACCAGATGTACTTTACTCAATGTCATTCTTCACTTTAAAATGTTAAAATGTTTAAGTGTTTTATTAATTTAAATATTTCAATTTAGAATTATTCAATTGGCCCATAATTGTATCCAAAGCCATGACAAGTCTAAGTTTGTTTGTTTGTTTGTTTGTTGTTTTTTACAGTTATGTTTTTATGATCACATGCAAGGCAAATGTTAATAAAGAAATCCAAAAGCAGGAAAGACAAGCCAGGGTGCAAGAAATACATCCACGTAAATGCTCCAAGCAACAAAGAAAAACTAAAACAGAGGGATCAAATGCACTAGGCTATAACAATTTTAAAGGGGAGGTGACAATCAAACACCATTGCAACAAACAAGGGTAAGAATATACACTGGTTGTGGCACAGGAAACATAATAAGGTGAACAAAATAAAGAGGCAGGACAACAGGGTTCGGGATATTGTATTCGGGATATAAACAAGGTTAAACAGTGAATTAAAATCAGACATTGATCTGAGGAGGTGAAGCTTCCCCCTTATTACATCATACAGTAGAACATTACAAAACTTTTAATTTTGTCAGACTGCCTTCAATATAAGCTGCTTTTAGAGGAAGAAAGTTTGGAGCTCTGAAACTTATAGGAAGTGCTCATAGTACTGTGACCTCTTATGTTGAGCGATCAAGGTAATGTTGGTTTCTCAGTTCATGACCCCTTAATAAGCACTACACTGTATATAATGGCATTCTATCTAAAGCCATCATAAGTCTAAGTTTATTGTTTGTTTGTTTGTTTGTTTGTTTGTTTGTTTGTTTGTTTGTTTGTTTGTTTGTTTGTTTGTTTGATTTTTGTCTGATGCGTATAGAAAGGAAGAGAAAAAAAAGTATCATTGCAAGGCTTGTCAACCCATTCACCTGTGAGAGGCACACTCATAATCATACAATGTTTTTTCAAGAACATCAAGTCTTTATATGACAGTGTCTGGTGCATATGAAGAGGAAAATAGAGTGTCTCCTAGGTGGATTGTCAAGTCCACTCACCTGTGTCAAGCACACTCAGACTTGCATATTTTCCCAGAAGAGATAATGATGGAATCATCATATCTGTGTGTAATATCTATCAAGACTTAAATGTTTCTTAATGTGTGTGTTGATGCAGGGTATGATGTACTTGGAGGAGCGTAGACTCGTGCACAGGGACCTGGCTGCTCGAAACGTCCTAGTAAAGTCACCTAACCACATCAAGATCACTGACTTCGGTCTGGCTCGCCTTCTGGATGCAAACGAGAAGGAATACAATGCAGACGGAGGCAAGGTCAGTACAGCATGACCCTGACAAGACAAAGGGCACACACTTACCCTTTAGCATAACATCAGTTATTATTAATTTGAACACTGCTTGGAATAATTAAGACATATGTTGCAGTTTGTGTCTTTTGGTGGGCTAATTAACAGCATTTGCTATGGCCAAACACACACACACTACCAGAATATGGATTTTATTCGCAAGTATTTAAAGGTTCACAGGTTCTTAATGACCCTGTTGGTGCGAACATACATGACTTACAGACTAATCGGGACACTGCCCACATCTTATGAAAGGTCAATTTCATTCTATTTCAGAATTTATTGTTGTACTTGGCACTATTCTCAGCATGTCAGGAAGAAATGTGTGCTTTTCTTTTACTGAGTGATCAGATTTATGCCAGACTATACATTCAGTACACTGTGTATAATGTTTAATAGTGGACAGCCACCAACATCAAATCTGGGACGTCCAAAGACTAGCATTATTAAGTTTTATTTTAGTCAGTGCAAATGTATGACCAATAGGAAGACAGAAGCTTCCACCTACACATTTGTAAAGTAATGATGGGTCATGAGGTGACGTATAGTACACAATTAGTTTTTTGTTGGTGTCTGTAGTGCAGTAGCACAGTAATTAAGTAGTTAAAAACCTTATGATAATACATTGTTTAATGTAACGCAAGAAAAAAAATTAGACTGAATACAGCACAGGGCTGCACGATTAATCGTAAAAAGATAGCTTGAGAAACCCGTTCTCAAAGACTTATTTTTTGGGGTAGCACACATATTCTGAATGCCTTCAGCAGAAATAAAGTGAGCCATTTTAATCTAGATTAATTCCAAGATTACAGTGAGATTACAAACTCCTCACAGAAATGCCATCTGAGCCGAGGTTCGAACCAGCGACCTTCTTGCAGTGAGGCAACAGCACTACCTACTGCGCCACTACGTCGCTATATATATATATATACATAAATATATACACATTTGAAGTCAGAATTATTAACCGCCCTGTTTATTATTATTTTTTTGCCATTTTCTGTTTAACAGAAAGCAGTTTTTTTAACACATTTCTAAACATAATAGTTTTAATAACATATCTCTAATAACTGTTTTATTTGATCTTTGCCCTGATAACATTAAATAACATTTTACTAGATAATCTTCTAGTCGAAATAAAACAAATAAGACTTCCTCCAGACGAAAAAATATTTTCAGACATACTGTAATTTCCTTGCTCTGTTAGACATCATTTGGAAAATATTTAAAAAAGAATAAAATTCAAAGGGGAGCTAATATATATATATATATATATATATATATATATATATATATATATATATATATATATATATATATATATATATATATATATATATATATATATATATATATATATATATATATATATATATATATATATATATATATATATATATATATATATATATATATATATATATATATATATATATATATATATATATATATATATATATATATATATATATATATATATATATATATATATATATATATATATATATATATATATATATATATATATATCTCTGCAGCTATAAATATATCTATGTCTAAATATGACCTGAAAAAAAAAAAAAGATGGATTTCTGAATTTCATTACACTACAACATCAACAGGGACATTATTTTTGCTATAAATGAGACTGGTTTGCAGTTTTGTTGTCATTGCATTTAGGATTTCATATAGCAGACAGGTTTCAGTCTGGGAATCTGTAGCATCTGCAGGAAAATGGAGCCCATTTTTTGAGATGCGTGCATGGGTAGCACTTAAATGCGCATGGGAGCATCCATCCACCCCAAGGTCAACGTCACTTAGACGATAGACTTGTCTGAAAACTCAATTCAGCCTCAGACAAGCAATAAATAGAGATTCATAGAGTGAGAACTAAAAGTGCATTAAAATGTAAAAGGTATCCTAAAATATGTAAATATGTGCAAAATACCCAAAACTTGAAGGTGTGCATGCATGATGTATGTGTCAATGCATCAACGACCTCTTGTCCTTTGCCTACTAAAGATATATTTCAATTTATGACAAGGCTCATCTGATATCCTTGTCTGGAATTGATTCTTCCACAAACTTTTTATCCAAACAAAAATCTAGGGCATAAGGGGGAAGAGTTTTGCTACCTTTCACTCCAATGACTTCCACTTATTATGAATGTAAATTTGTACAGAAGTTTCCCATATGGCTGAAAGCTTGGTGAACTCCGTCCACTGAGGTCATATTATGTAAAAATGTGTTAAGACTGTTATGTCATGGTATGACCTCTGAGCTGAATAAAAAGAAAGCATACATTTAAATGTGAAGGATTGCCCCATTACAATGAAATAAAGTGGTTTCATGTACATACAGGGTGCAAATTACAAAGGGGTTGGGGGTTGGGGGGGGGGGGGGGGATGTTACCCCTCTAATTAACGCTGGACCTCAAAACAAAGACCTCAAAAAAATGGAAGTGTGTGTGTGTGTGTGTTTGTCAGCTCTTTATTAGTGAGAAAATATTTCACTCTGATCTGTATTTTGAATAATACTGTTAAGAATTATAATAACAGATCAGATAATATAAATATACATTTGACCACCTCTATAATAGTTAATCCCACTGTGAATCCATAATCGAGCCAATCGGCTTATGCGAGAAAAAAAAATCAGTCTTAAACCGGCAGATCTAGATACAAATCATAAGTGTTTACCAGACATCTTTAGGTAAATTGGTGTTGGTATCAATACAAAAAAATAGCCTAAAATACTGTACAAATAGATGCATAGTTTGCACAGTTTGACCTACAGTAACCTCTGAAATAACTAATCAGATGATACTGTAGGTCAGACACTAAATATCCCTCAAACACTGAACACTTAAATACATATATAAATTAGATGTAATTTAAATAAATACATCAATGACTGAAGCTTGTATTACTCAAACTACAGTAACATTACCGAAAAAGTTGACCCCCCTGATTGTCAGTGTATAATTTGCACACTGCTTATATATGTTGTTATACATTAAATTGTTACTGTAAAAAAGACTGTAGAGTGTGATGTCCTGTAACAACCACTGCAGCATCCATAGATATTATGTGCACAGAAAGTTTTGTGAAAGCAGCTTCACTTTTATTTATATTAATTATAAGCTTGTATAAAGTTTATTAGTATTGAAATAAAGAACTTTTAAGTTAAAGTAATTGTAATCTAATGGTCTTGAAAGACTACTTAACAATGACAAATGCTAAAGTCTCTTTTGAGCCAAGTCAGTTAATTGAAAAGTCATACAAGTATATATTGTTCATTGGGGGAATTTCAAAAATTGCTTATACATTTAGTTTTATTGCTTACATGTTTGGGTTTTATATGCAATATTTTTGCAAGAACATCCAGTAAAGGCATTTGCAGTCATGTTTGATTAATTAAATACATAAATTCTCAATAAACTTTTTTTTAAAAGTAATTCACAATAAAAATAAGTAAAGCCAGCAAAACTTTGTTGGAATGTTGTAAATAAATAATATACTAATAGCTTATTCAGGATATTTTAAGTCTGGTCAATCTAAATAAAGTTTTGCAAAACTAGTCAAGAAGTGTTATAAAGACCAAGCATGCCAATTAGTTCTTTATTTGGAAGATGGGACTTCTACAAGAGCCGCCTCATTTAAACATTTCAATTTCCCTCATTTCATTGATCAATGAGTGTCCCATCTCCTCTATAAACGGTCTCAGTCAGAGCGTGCTATATAAAATTACTGAAACTAAAGACATTGTATTGGAGTGTGTGATCTGGCACTGGCACTCACTCTGTTAGGATCCATGCGGGATCTAGTTGTGTATGCCAATGGAGGAATACTGTAAGCTTGTGGCACTAAATACTCCTCGGCATCCATCAGATCCTCCAGTTCCTCTTCATCTAGCAGGCTCTGGAAGAACTTACTGTCGTTGGGACTCGGCAGCTTCATACGGTCATCCCCCTGGCACAGAGAGCATCAGCATAATGAGTAATAACTTTTATGAAACTTATGTTTTATTTATCCTTTGCATTTGTATATATTTTATTGTTGTACAGAACACCAGTGAACAACGTGCTTTATAAATAGCATTGAGAATCTTACCTGGATGACTAGGTAACGTTGTGGGTCTCTTGCCATCCGGCTGAACTCTGCTGCAAGCTCCTTAAATCTGGGTCTGCTGTCTGCATCTATCATCCAGCCTGGAGCGGCACACACAGCACAACTTCAGTCAGCAAAGTAGAGCACGATGGATAAACAATGCAGGGAGCTTTCTGTTATTTAACAAACGGTTCTGAGTCCAACATTTCCCAAACACAACTGATTGGCACAAAAATGTAATTATTTTTCCTCCATCCCTGAATCCCCGTGTTGAATTAGGCTTTGAAGACAGGTATCCTTAGCATAACAATGGAGGTTTAAAAATATTTGTTTATTTATAAAAAATATCTATATATTTACAACAAAAATATATTTTATATAAATTAAATATTTATAGATTCATTATTTTTTATAAGAAAAAATGTGTAAAATGAAAATAAGAAATAATAAATGGAAGAGGACCTAATACTGAACTAATACTAAGGCACTCCACTAATGAGAGGTTTGTGATGTAATCTGACTTACCGGCCACTTTATTAGGCACACCTGTCCAACTGTTAACGCAAATTTCAAATCAGCGAATTGGACAATAGAAGATTGAAAAAACGTTGCCTGTTCTGATGAGTCTAGATTCATGCTGTGATATTTGGATGGTAGGGTCAGAATTTGGCATGAACATGAAAGCATGGATCCATCCTGCCTTTTAACAATAGTTTAAGCTGCTGGTGGTGTGATGGTGTGGGGGATATTTTTTTTGGCAGAGCCCATTAGTACAATTGAGCATCATGTAAACACCACAGCCTACCCGAGTATTGTTGCTGACAATGTCCATCCCTTTATGACCACAGTATACCCATCTTTTGATGGCTACTTCCAGCAGGAACTTGCCATGCCATTAAGGGCGAATCATTGTACTCAAATGGTCTCTACAATCACCAAATCTCAATCCAATAGAGCACCTTTGGGATGTGGTGGGGAGATTTGCATCGTGGATGTGCAGCTGACAAATCTGCAGCAACTGCTGTCATGTCAATATGGGCCAAACCCTCTGAGGAATTTTCCAGTACCTTGTTGAATCTATGCCATGAAGGATTAAGGCAGTTCTGAAGGCAAAAGCAGGTCCAACCAGGTACTAGTAAGGTGTACCTAAGAAAGTGGCTGTTGAGTGTATATATAATAATGCACATACTTATGTGTCTTTAATGCAAAATTATTTTGCACAGAATTATTAAATATGTTCTTTAACAATCCTTTTGAATCAGGTAAAATTGCTTTTCACGTAGACTTGGGAAGCCTGACAATTGCTGATAAGTGCTTTATTTTGCTTTCAAGTATAAGTATTTTATTTTATTTTTCAGTTTCAAGTAGGAATACTACTGTACCTCTACAGCCATTTATGAGAACTATTTATTTATAGCTTTAAAAACTCACTGTTTACACCATTTTCCCTGGAACCAATTTTTAACATTTCAGAAAAAGAGGAATCAGTATATAGCCAGCTAAAATTATTGCAAAAGAGAAATAGGTAAGAACGCTTTTTTTAAACTGAAGTACAATATTGATGTACAGTATGTCACCATCATTGGCATTTTTTTTAACTGTTATTTTTGTATTGTAATACAATGCCATAATAATTATTATTTCATTTTTAGCAATTTTGTTAATATTCTGAACTAGCTTTAATTTATTCTCCTTTTTAAAATATAGTTTTATTTATATGTACGCATCAACTTTTATTTTTATTCAAACATTTATTTGGATCAGTAACATACATTTTTTTTCGTATAATTTTTATATTTTAATTCAAGTTTACCAACAATATTTCCAATAAGTGACACCATACTTATTAGCTAGAGACTGCATCAGTTGTTAGTTTTCCCATATGTGGAATATTCAATTAGCTGGATTTGATTGTTGACGATTTGACATGATTCAGGATCGTTTCGTTCTTTAACACTTATCCGAGAGCTGTTGCATAGCAACAGATCTGGCTCAAACCTGCTTGGGAGCAAGCTTATTTTATATAAACAGGATTAGACCAGGAACTATGTACTGAATGCTGATACATTCTTACTGTAGTAGTTATATACACTTGGGAAAATAATAGTGAAATAGCTTAAAAATATCTACCTATCCCCCTTGGAATTTGCTGGGGATTTAATGCTTTGATAAAGTTGCAGACAACTTTACAAATATCAATATTTGTAATTTTGATAAAATTAACTTTTTTAATGCTAAATTAATTTTAAAGTATTTTTTTTTTAAATACAAAATTCATTTAAGCTGCCATTTATTAAGAAACTTAATTAGGCCTTCTAACGAAAATCCACACTAAATGTAAAACTAAATAAATTGCAAATACTCTTGACATGTAAAAGTGTGTTTTTTCCATTTACTACATAATTGATATAATTTTACCTGCATTAATTATTGCATACTAATCAGATGATGTCATTACGCTGTCGTGCCGTCAGCAAATTGTTGCACTGCTGATCTTGATTTTAAGAATTGATAGATCTGTCCTTCACAATACACACAGCAATCTCAGATCAGATCATGGGTGTCCAAACTCAGTCCTGGAAGGCCGGTGTCCTGCATAGTTTAGCTCCAACTTCCTTCATCAAACCTCCCTGGAAGTTTCTAGTATACCTAGGAAGAGCTTGGTTAGCTGGTTCAGGTGTGTTTAATTAGGGTTGGAGGTAAAAGATTCAGGACACTGGCCCTCCAAGACCGAGTTTGGACACACCTGATCTAGACATTTTATGATTGAAGAACCAAATTATCCAGAGATCTGTTATCAAGATCAAGAACCAAATTATCCAGAGATCAGTTATCAAGATCAAAAGATCCAGGATCTGTCGAATCAACTTAGATCATTTAATTGAGGTTTGAAGAATGAACACTTGGTTGAGAGAACCACAGTGAAAACAAAACATTGTTTTGTAACTTCTATATCAGAATACCACACAAATTCGAAAATATATAATCATATGACATATAACTCTCCCTTACACTTGACCATGACCATGTAGACGTCAATAGTGCAGATGGGAGGCTGAGGAAGCCTCTCTCCTTTCTCCAGCAGGTCTGGGATCTCTCGGGTAGGAATTCCATCATACGGCTTTCCTCCAAATGTCATCAGCTCCCATATAGTGACTCCTGGAAGAAAAGCAAGTATATATATATATATATATATATATATATATATATATATATATATATATATATATATATATATATATTTTTTTTTTTTTTTTAAACCTGTAGACATTCTGTCAGGTTGGTGCTTAAGAATGAAGTGTGTGAATGACCAAACTGCATTAAAAAAATACTTATGTACTTAAATACGTATACTTAAATATGATTACATTTGAATGCAATGAAGAGTCTTCTTACCGTAACTCCATACGTCACTCTGGTGGGTGAATTTCCTATAGTGGATGCACTCCAAGGCCATCCATTTAATAGGCATCTGACAAAGTAAGAGGCAATACTTCAGCAGCTTGTGTTAAATAAAAAAAAAAAAAACACAATGGTACAGTACATGAAAACGTAATAAAGTGAACACAAAAAAACTGCATTCATCAAGTGAGCGGAGTGAGCACTGCATTATTGTTTATTTACACAACATGACAAAGTTTCTTCAAAGCTTACACGCTAAAACCAAACCTTATCACGGTGCCATGCATTATGTATTAAGTCTGGCAAGTTAATATTTCAAAAATGGAATAATCAGTGGTATCGGATTCTTTTCATCTTTTCCTTCAGAGGGGGAAAATAAGAAGCAGGTTGGGCAACATGTGCATGCAATGCTGCCGGGTATCAAACCACACTAAAGCTTCAGAGTTTCTCCTGTGTGAGAGAACAAACATGGCTGATTTAAAATGGTAGATGGTTGGCACTGAATGGATTCCCAAGACACTCTGTTCTTGTATGGAAACAAGAGGGAGATTCAGATGAATAAGATCAAATCAATGTGTTCATAGAGTAAAGGAAAATGACAGCAGCAGCAGCAGGGGTGGAAGGTTTGTTGAAGTGAAAATGTGTAAAGATGACGGAAGACTGACGTTTGCTTGTGTAAAACTCACTTTACACAATCTTGAGATGCTGTGAGTTGTTAACTTGTTGTTATTCTGTTGTTTGGTTTGGTTTGGTTTAGTGTGATGCTTTTGGGTTGTTAGTTGGGTTGTTTAACAATCAAATGCAGATTTTGTATAGGTATTATTTCGTATGCATTACAGTGAAGACTTGTTAACTGATATCTGTAAGCTTCTTTCCATATATAGTTAGAAATGTCTTAATTTAACCTTGCACATAATTTTACTGTAAAATACAGTCAAAATTGAGGCCTGTGTAAGAAATGTAGGACGCTACAAGAAGTGTATATCAAAAATTATATTCTTATAAATAGCTTTGTTTCTTATTTAATGTACATTAGATGTATTGTTTAACATTCTATGCTGTTTATATGGCCTTTATTCATTTATCATTTCATATTTCAAACAAAATCATGTTTTAATTTGTTTGAAACTACTGTTGATCTGTTTTGATCTGCAAATTAACTCATCCTATTTATACTTTTGTCACTATAATGCTGGATTAGGGCTGCACGATTCTGGCTAAAATGATAATCACATTTTTTTAATTTTTAATAATTTTTTTAATTTAATTATTTAATTATTTTTTTGCTTAAAATCAAGATCCCAATTTTCTCACGATTCTGCAGATGTAAAATAAAACTTAACATGAGCAGGCGTTATTAGTTTTATTCCTTAAACATATGGTAAAACAACAACAACAATATTAGGTATATGTGTAAGACTACTATCTGTTCAAATGCTACAATTTGTAAAGACTTCAACTTGAACAGATCGTCATTAATGCACGGTAAAGTGATTACATCATAATACAACTATTCATAATTCTGAAGTTGAATTATTATGTTTGAGACATATGCTTGCAATCTGTCATTGACAACATTATTAGAACATTTTTCTCACTGCTAAAATGAAACATGTCATTATCAGATTTACTTTTGGATTATAACATTATATAGACTAGAGTAGTCATACTGACACAGTTTAACATTTATTTTCATCACAACACATATGAAGTGCTTCTCATAATCTTAACTCTAAAATGCAATATGATCATTTGAATGATGTGCGCTTTTGGTTTCACTTTCACTGCTGAGTGCGGTTCATGTCATGGTTGCCGTCACTGAGAAAATAAAACATACATGCAAATCATATTTCCCGCGCCGCTCTTAATCGATCGTTCTGTGCAACAAACTGAACATTATTTACAACTTTATTACCTGTTATTGACAGCCTATGCAGGTTCTGTTCACAAATCATTCAAAACAAACTGTGCGTAAGCTCACATGTCATTCGCAGCCGCAATAACGTCAATACATAAAGACAGAATTTACATTTCTAGGTGAATTATACCATATATATATATATATATATATATATATATATATATATATATATATATATATATATATATATATATATATATATATATATATATATATATATATATATATATATATATATATATATATATATATATATATATATATATATATATATATATATATATATATATATATATATATATATATATATATATATATATATATATATATATATATATATATATATATATATATATATAT